TGAATAGTTGTCTATTTAAATCAATACTATAAACTTTTAGCACAACTAAATACCATACAACACACCAAAATGTGTTTTTTTTGTTTTATACAATTTGTGTTTGGTGTACACCGTTGTGATCTGTTGGTTTTCTAAAATATACCATAAATGGTAGTATGTCTAATAGTATTAGGTTGCAAATAATATCAAGGTGTTCTTTGAACCATTTACATTTGGAATAAAGAGAGCTTGATAATGTTGACCAATATGGACCTATAGGGGATAATTGTGTGTATATATTATATATATATATATATATATATATATATATATATATATGTAAAAAACAGATAAAATTCTTATCTTGTAATACCTTTTTTATTGGATTTGAAATGCTTCAGACTTGAGAAAGGGAGGTTCTCCCGAAAGCTTGTCATTAAAAAATTCTGTTAGTCCAATAAAAAAGGTATTACAAGATACAAATGTTATCTGTTTTTTACATCTACATCACTGGACTAATACGGCTACAATCTCTACTTGAACACTATATATATATATATATATATATATATATATAAATATAAATAAATGATCAAGTTGGTTATTTGGAAAATTACCTTGTTCCCATGGTATCTGAAATGCACACTGCATTCATCATTCCATTCAACTGAGCTCTCAAGATGTAAAAACAATAGAGTCAACAGAAGCCTACCTCGGTGAAATGTTAGGCTGTCTGATAATTTTCCATCTGCGTCCACAGAAGGCATCCCACATGTTGAGCTTTAGCAAAAGGTGACAATCCTTGAGATTTAGGGAAAGACAAGTATTGATAGGATTATATGCCATGGTGCTGATAAAAACTATTACTTGGTGAATATGTCCTCGACAACAAAAGTGTAACATAAGCATAATAATTGCTTCTCATAGTCTATAGTACTTAGCTAATTTATCCAGCCTCTAGTTATTTTTACACTGTGAGAGACTGCACGGAATTCGATTGGTTAAATAGGTCATTGACATATAGTTTGCCTGTCATTTAAATAGCCACATTAATCTATTAGGCAAAAAGGAGTTGCAGAATTTTCTTATTTACACTATTACTCAACATGCACCTTACTTCGACTGCCAAATTTCTATATTTTTGTTATTAAATAACTATGTTCAAAAATACATGTGGTGCAGTAATTAGTAAGCTAAGGGTGTGTCCCAACTGTCAATGTCTTAAAGGAGCAAGTTTGTTTTCCTGGCACTATAGGGTCATTAGGCCCCCCTCCCGCTGGGCTGAAGGGGTTAAAACCCCTTCAGCCACTTACCTTTCTCCAACGCCGGCTCCCTCTGCACTGGGGAACTCTCCTCCCTCTGCCGACGTTCGCTCCGAATGCGCGGCAAGAGCCGCGTGCATTCAAACCGCTGATAGAAAAACATTACTCAATGCTTTCCTATGGACGTCCAGCCTCTTCTCATTGTGATTTTCACAGTGAGAATCGCGGGAGCGCCTCTAGCGGCTGTCAGGGAGACAGCCACTAGAGGCTGGATTAACCCTGCAGTGTAAACATAGCATTTTCTCTGAAACCTCTATGTTAACAGCTGCAGGGTTAAACTAGAGGGACCTGGCACCCAGGCCACTTAATTGAGCTGAAGTTGGTGCCTATAGTGGTCTTTTAATGACACACATGGCAGACATATTGAATTTTACCATTATTATCTTAAATTCCTAAACAAATTCACCAAAATAATTCCCTTTCAATGGATGGTCTTTTTGGACCATATAGTGGACAATGTATAGTGGATTTATTCATTAAATAGAAGGTAGAGCGGATCTGAAAACTACAGACTTCTAAAAGTTAGGTAGAAATTGTAGACCTGTGGTTTTTAATACCTGCTATTTTAACATACCTTTCTCAACGTATCTTTTTACCACAACATTTTATAGTGTATCGCATTTTTAAACAACATTGGCATATTCTTGTGATTTTGGAACCAAGGAATAAGTGCAAAGATTTTTACTGAACACTCCCAAAATCGGAGGACTGAATATTAATAAGAGAACTTGGGGCTCCCTTTCAAATAGAGTACACCCAATATCTGATATTAAATAACATTTGGTATTTTATATTTCCTTCAGTAAAAGTTAATTGAAGTTTAACAATTGCTAGTGTTTTTTTTTTCTCCCTCCAGTTGCTAGCTATTTTTAATACAATTTCCTCTTTCCATTAGCTTCCCCGCTACCCCGTTGTACTTCCTCTTATGTTCCATTCTCTCACTCTTATTACTTACTATCCCATTCTCCTCTCGGTCATATTCCGCCACCATCTCATTCTTCTACCTCATTGCCCTTCTTTCTCTTTGTTCCTCCTGCTGTCTCACTGAATGGCCATCTTTGTACCTTTTCATCGCATTTGACTATTCTTCCTCAATCATTCCACCTGTAATTGTATTCTTTAGTATCTGTTTTGTAGTTATTTACCCCTCTTTGCCTGGTTAGAGGGTTGAAATATCTCTGAATCTTGGTGGAGTGAGCTGTCTGTATGTTTTAGTGACAGCTCTCCTGTTTACTTGCATTTCAGCCTCCAAATCATGGGTCCTCAAACTCCGGCCCCCCCAGATGTTGCTGAACTACAACTCCAATGATTCTTTGAATTACATAGATAGCCAGAGAATCATGGGAGTTGTAGTTCAGCAACATCTGGGGGGCCGGAGTTTGAGGACCCATGCTCTAAATTGATTAAAGATGTAATAAGTTCTGTTTCCACTCATCATACTGACTCAGTACAACACTCAGGAGTGAAAGGAAGCCGAAAGCTGCCTCTGCCTCTTGCACAGGGAAGAGACAACTTGCTAGTTTGCATTTGTTCCCTATGGGCCGGCCAATCAGGAGAGAGATTTGTATATCCAATCACTTGTGCGGCCTCACAGACCCCAGATGGGTAACAGACATCTAGTTACTAAATGGGAGTCTAAAGATAAGATTCCCAACCAGGGGAGCTATGATTAACAGTTCTTACAACATTACCAGACCTCCCCCACCCCAAAAAAAGCCACCACTGGGGTCCACCACCCTCATATCTCCTTTGCAAATTGATGTATATACATTCATCATATTGCAATCCTACATATTAGTTACAAAGATATAGAATAGGTGCTCGATATAATAGTAAAAGTGGGAGGCAGCAGTGAACCAAATCTTGCTTAAAATACAGAATGTGACCAAAAGAAATGTGGTAGATCTACTTCTGGTGTGGTCTACCACATTTCTTTTTGGCAAATCCTACATATCATATTATCCTGTTTTGCTTTTATTTTTAGATTTTGCGTACCGGACTAATCGCTTTTTATCTGTTCTTTAAAACTAAAGTGTAGTACCTGTCTTAGTGTGGAAAAACAATGTAACTATTTAATTTGTATATAGGTTAAGCACTTTTTGTTTAATTTATTGCACAGGTACAGCAATGTATAAATAACACAGCCTCTACTTTTCACGTGTACAGAACATAGCTTTGTAAGTTAACGCTCAACTGGCATTTGACATTTTTTTGTTCATATAAAAATTAACTTTGTGTTTCAATGTACATTACTCTGTTCTAGATTCCGTAGAATTTCTGTGATATAAATATCTGTTTAAGCTACTGCAAGTAATTAGTATTTTGCCATTAATGTTTTCATTTGCTTTTCTTATTTTCTTTGTATTTTCTAGTTATTGAAATAAAGTCAAGAGCTTGAAATAAAAGTATCCATGTTGTATTACTAATTTCACCTTGCTAATATGACAACACATAAAGCATTAATAAAAACCAACAAAATTATGCTTGATGATATTTACCTCTTCCGCAGTCTGTGAGAGTCCTTACATGGAGAAAGTAGGTCCATACCTTCTAAAGAAGAACAAGGTCACCAAATCTTTGTTTCTCCCCATCCATGTTCCTCCCCTATTATGCCCTAGTAATGAATCAAAACATATGAAACATAATTTCATGAACAGGCACTAGAATTAAAAAGTGCTGAGACTCCATGTACATTTACCATACAGGATACCGGAAAACAATAAGATATTATATATATATATATATATATATATATATATATATATTTATATATTAAACACACTGTATCTCAACGGTGAGTACACCCCTCAAATTTTTGTAAATATTTTAATATATCTTTTCATGTGACAACACTGAAGAAATGACACTGCTACAATGTAAAGTAGTAAGTGGAAAACCTGTATAACAGGGTAAATTTGCTGTCCGCTCAAAATAACTCAACACACAGCCATTAATATCTAAACCGTTGGCAACAAAAGTGAGTACACCCTTAAGTGGAAATGCCTAAATTGGGCCCAATTATCCATTTTCCCTCCCTGGTGTCATGTGACTTGTTAGTGTTACAAGGTCTCAGGTGTGAATGGGGAGCAGGTGTGTTTGATTTGGTGTTATCGCTCTCACAGTGTCTCATACTGGTCATTGAAAGTTCAACATGGCACCTCATGGCAAAGAACTCTCTAAGGATCTGAAAAAAAGAATTGTTGCTCTACAGAAAGATGGCCTAGACCAGGCTTCCTCAAACTCCGGCCCTCCAGATGTTGCTGAACTACAACTCTCATGATTCTCTCATGATTAGTTGTGTGAATGCAGGAGTATATTTGTATGAAGTGTCAGTATGCCTAGGAGTGAGTGTATTTGTGTGTAGTGTTTGTGTCTATGTATATGAAGGGATCTAAAATGTATTTGTGTGGAAGAAGCTGTGTGTGTAAATTAAGTGGATTGTTGGTGTGTGAATGTTTGTTTGTATTAATGTTCTTTATTTATTTGAGCAGTCAGTATCAGTGTGTGACTGTAATACTCTATTTGTGAGGAGTGTCAGTATGTGTGTGGATGCAAAACTATATGCCTGTAGATTATCAGTCTGTAAAAACAAATAAGCAGTGTGTCACCATGTGCATGACTTCAGTGGTGTGTTTGCATGCAATTTTTTTCTTTTGAATGTCATTTTATTTTCATTATGTCTCTGACTCTCTCTCTTCCCTAATGTGTGATCTGTCTCTCCTCTCTTTTTTTCTGTCACCTTACACTCATCCCAATTGTACACCCACAGACCCACTATTCTCTCTCCCCTCACCTTATTTACACCCACAAACTCATATTTATCTCTCCCACCTCACCCAAATTACACCCACAGACCCATATTTCTATCCCACCTCACCCTATTTAAACCCACATTTCTCTCCCCTCTCACCCAAGTTACAGCCACAGACCTACATTTCTCTCTCCCACCTCACCCTATTTAAACCCACATTTCTCTCTCCTCATACCCAAGTTACAGCCACAGACCGACATTTCTGTCTCCCACCTCACCCTATTTACACCCACAAACTCACATTTATCTTTCCCACCTCACCCTATTTACACCCAGAAACCCACATTTCTATGTCACTCCAACCCCCCTTTTGTGTCTCTATCGTCCTGGCTGCATTCAATCAGCTCTCCCTCACTCTCCCAGGTGCTGCTCCACTTGTAGCTGTGTTAAGGCCGCTCTGCATGTGTGGAATGAGAGCAGAAGATGTGATGTCACCAGGGACGTATTAGCCGCGAGGCAAACAAGGCATTGGCCTTGGGCGCCATTTTTCAGGGGGCGGCAAATGGTCGGGTGGCTGGCGAGGGAGCTGAGCAGACCGCTCAGAGGAAGTGCTCCCTCGCCAGCCGCCCGCCCAGTAGCCAACCTATCAGCCTGACCGGCAGCCACTGGACCACCAGGGAGAAAGAGGAACCCCCCCCAGCACTCCCAAAGGTAAGGAGGCTGGGGGGGGGGGTTAAATTAAAAAAAAGTGTAAATGTGAGTGATTGTGTGTGTGTGTGTGTTTGTGTGTGAGAGGGGGAACAGGCATGCTGCCAGGTCACACACTGCGGAGGGAAGAGTTGGATGGCATGGGCATCCGCAGTAATTTTTCCAGGGGGGGGCGGGGGCATAATTGTAATGACATCCATGCTTGGTCCCTTTTTGACAGTGCCATGAAGGGGAGGAGCATAGTCATTATCACATAAAGCCAGGGTGAATAGCATTTTCACAACTATGGTGTCAGGAATACATGTTTGTATTCCTGACACTATAGTGTTCCTTTAAGCAAATTAAAGGGACATTCTGGTCACCATAACAACTTCATCTAAATGAAAATGCTATGATGCCAGGAAGCCCCTGGGTGCTCTCTTTCCTTTAAGGGGTTAAACCGCTCTCAAATGGTTTAACCCCAAAGGCTTCCTCCATCTCCAGATTTACAGGTCGCTCAGTGGTATTCGGCTTCTGAAACAGCGTGTCAGGAAGTGCAGATTGACGTCAGGCATGGGTGCTGCAGATTGGCTAGAGTGGTCAATTGACGCTCTAAGCCAATTGCTAGTTCCCGGTTCATAAAAATGTTTTACTTTTTTATGAATGGGGAGCTACTGATTGGCTTAGAGTGCCAACTGGTCGCTCTAGACAATCAGTGACACCCCAGCCCAGCGGCACTCTGTGCTTCCTGACACTCAGTAAATAAAAGTGGACACATTTTTTTTTTTACCTGGGGAGATGAGAAGGTCCAAAGTTTCCCTGCCAGGCCCAGGTACCAAAGCCTTATGATGTGGTATCCAGAATAAAGTGGAGGGTTCACTTCACTTGTCCTTTCTGCTCCAATCTCATTTTCTTCTCCTTCATTTGACACAGTCTTCTTTTTCCTCTGACACTGTCTTCTCTCCTCCTGGGCTCATTCTGCTCCTTTACTAGACATGTGCAATTTGTTTCGGTCCGAATGTGTATTCGGACGAATTTCCGGCAATTCAGGAATTCGGGTACTTTCGAATGTCCGAAAAGATGAATTGCCAAAGTTGCGAAATTACTGAATTGTCAAAGTTCCGAAGCACAGTATTGCCTAAGAACTGATATACTTACACAGTGGAAGAATGAAGAATGTAACACTGTATACAATTTTAAATAAAAAGTATACAAACATAGCCAGGATTCAGCTGTAAGCATTTGCAACACTTTCAACAATCAAGTAACACACATTCATATAAAATGTAAGTTGCTTGGCCAGTCAATGTAATGGCAGGAATGAATAAGTAGATAACTCCCTAATTCCCACGGTATCAGGGAGCTACCTACTAAAAGGCTGAAAGACCTAAATTGGTCTTTCAGACAAATTTACTAATACTAAGTAAAGATTACTTAGTATTAGTAAATTATTCCCCTACTCACTATACCGCGAGTAGGGGCATGTCTATTAAACAGTGAGCAGCCTATGGCTCACTTAAAAAAAGAAAAGAAAAAAAGGTGTGTCCCCCTTCTGTGCCGCGTGAGTGGGGGCTTCTAACCTGAAGGGGGGACCTATTGGCCCCCACCCCTGAACGGTGGGTGGGGGCCCTACAGTAAAATAAGGGGGGAACTTAATGTCCTCCCTCCTGGCCCCCACCCCTGAGCGGCCGGTGGGGGACCTAATGTCCTCCCCCCTGGCCCCCACCCCTGAGCGGTGGGTGGGGGCCCTAAAATAAGGGGGGGACCTAATGTCCTGGCCCCCACCCCTGAGCGGTGGGTGGGGGCCCTAAATACTAATAAGGGGAGTGGAACCTAATGTCCTCCCCCTGGCACCCACCCCTGAACAGTGGGTGGGGGCTCTAAATAAAAATGTTACCCCCCCAGGTGACTAGGGGTCCCCAAACCCTTAGTCACCCCCCTCCCAAAAAAACCCCGAACCCCTACCACCCCCCTCACCATAAAAATAATGAGGGGCGGCCATTAACTAATTACCTGTAAAAAAAAAAAAAAACTTACCATTTGATGTTTTCTTTCTTCTTAAATCTTATTTTTTCAGCTCCAAAAAAGGCCAAATCAAAAATCCTTAATAACAGACGCACAAAAAAAAAAAAAAAGACAGTGGGGAGGATGGGGGTACAGTCACGGGCCCCAAGAGGTTTGGGACCGCGACTCTACTCCCTAAGCCTACTCCTCAACACTACCACCATTGTATATAGTTAACTGTGCTTGCCAGCATAACGGAAAATATCGGACGGGGACGTCCGCAGGGTATAAAGTATCGGTAAAGTGTTTAAAATAACCAATGCAACTTTCATTCTGTAAAAATGTACGACACTGCGCTGTCATTTGCATTTGTACACCTGCATATTTCTGTGTTGACCTCTTCGTCAGACCAAAAATAAAGAATAAAAAAAAAAAAAAAGCGCCAAAAAATGATCCTTCTTCACCCATGGAGGGCTCCGCGCAGACAAGCCTTGCCCCGCCCTGCAATTAGGCTCAGAGCACTCTGATTGGTGGGTTTAAGCCATCCAGAGTGCTCTGACAGGTAAATGAAGAGACTGACAGGTAAGTCTCTACATTTACCTGTCACAGAACTCTGAGTGGTTGGCTTGAAGTCCACCAATCAGAGTGCTCTGTGTTATTTTATACAGCGTAGGAAAGTTCTTTGGAATTTTCCCACGCTGTGTAATTTGACTCATAACACTCTGATTGGTTACTTAATCCAAAGAAAACATCCAATTCAAAGAAAACATCAAATGTTTTTTTTGTTTTTGTTTACAGGTACTTAGTTAAAGGTCCCCCCCTCATTATTTTAGGGTGAGGGGGGTAGGTAG